AATAATGATAATAATAATCTTTATTAACCAGATAATACACATATCCAGTAGCGCAGCAGACAAAACAGAATCGAAATCTATATGACATTATCCAGAGATTTATTCTTAAACACTGAACTTGACAATACTAATGATTGCTAGAGTGATACCTAAAAGAGTTTGTATACCAAAAATGAAAAATTAGACAAGAGGTAACTATACCTTGCAGGATAATTCAAATTCTCCGAATTATATACGGAGCAGTTATGACCTCATTGTGCGATCCTCTAACGCGCATGCGTGCTAACTCACTGTTCAAACTTGCATTGTTATGCAAATTACGAGGCTATAATAACAAGGGAGCATGTGATATCGTCCTCTTCTTCTTGAGTGTCCCATAAAGTTGAAAGAAAAAATCGTTTGTCGACTGCCAATTTATTCCAGGGGGGGGGGGGGGGGGGGGGGGGGGGAATGCGCAAAGACATTGCGCAAAGACAGGGATACAAGCGCCCAACTGGAGCTGATGGCGGAGAGGATGAAGGGCACCGCTGTGAATTAGTCTCAGCAGAGTATTCCATCTCGGCAGCAACACAGGACGCTCGACCAATAGGCGCAGCAGGACTGGATACCATACCTATCTTGACGTCACAGATTACTCTCGTTCTCAGATCACTTTTTCACATCCACCCTGACACAGGAAGCCAAAAGTCGCACCTTTAAGACTCAATATCTCGCCCAGGAAATATCCAATCGACCTCATATGTATATCATTTGAAAGCTGCTGATGTCTAGAATATGATAAAAGTGGTTTGATTTTAGGGGTCATATGCACTTTATAAGATATTTGATTTATCGGAAAACTGGGATTCTACTTTCAAATTTGTCACATCGTTAATAGTAAAGTTGCCGTGAAGTTTCGTAAACATTACTGATCCTTAAAATGACAAAATATGAATTTTTGAAACTAAGAATGTTCGTGTCTGAGCCTGATACCAAAGCTCCTTTTTCCAATCAATAAAATGTCTTGTGCCATGCAAGCCGCTTGATAAGGGTTTCTTAGCTAWTTAGATATTTGTCAGTTATGAATGCATACCATTTGGTTCATTATACTTTTAAAGGCCCAGCTCATAACGTGGTGCTTTGCGCGCTTTTATTTTTGTTTTGTTTGCATTGAACATTACTGGGCCCGGTTGTACGAAGCCTGGATAGCACTACCCGGTGGATAAATCCTTATCCAGTGGATAAAGTGATGCTGTTTTCCAATAAATTTATCCACTGGGAAAGATTCATCCGTCGGATAGCGCTATCCAGGCTTCGTACAACCGGCCCAGATCGACAGGAAAGCAAGAGTGGTTCTTTTGTGCTCTCGTCTTCTCGGACAATTCAATTATTTTGGCAGTACATAGGGTACTTTGTTTACACAGCGATGTCAGATATGACTATGGCGAACGCAAAACGAAGCTCGAATAGCCTGAGTAGCGGCCCAAATGGGCAGGGGAGGGGGAAAGGGGTCGGGGCCTGTGGAGGAGGGGGAATCAGGCTAAAGCTCGAACCACGGTTCGTTCTTCGTAATACGACCTCGAGGTCAAGCTAGCCAACGATCATTGTGATCGATTTACAAAGTGTGTTATGGTGCGGTTCGTAGCGGCATCTCTCTGAGGCTTTCTATAGTTTCTCTAACTATTAATGAGCCGGAGTCTGGGAACGAAGAAACAAAAAAAGCACTCTAGGTTTTCGCTGGAAAAGGAAGCCCGCTCGCTAGAGAGATATAGTATGTGAGAGTTTATGGAGAAGGCTAGGGCGGAGAGACATAGAGGTAAAATACAGTAAATGTATGTAA